ATTATCCAATTTCTCTACCACCAAAGCTCGATTTAACACTTCAGCATATGTTGGTAAAATCAGTACTGCAACAGACTTTCTAATTGATGATCGAAGTCCCATCTCAAAATGACGGGCTCTTTGACTTTCATTAAAAGTAATATGTGGAGAGAACTGAGCCAACTCAGTGAAATGATGATCATATTCCATTATAGTTCTATTTCCTTGGTGGATGCTAAGGAACTCTTGTTGTTTCTCAAAGCGAACTGAATCAGGAAAGAACTGCTCATAAAATGCATCTTTAAACTGCTCCCAAGTTACCACATTACCTCCCACCTCTAACATCCTCCTTTTTGAGGTCCACCAAGTGTCTGCCGTCCCTTCCAAAATGAAAGAAGCGAAAGGCACTTTTTGATTTTCCCTACATTCGATAGCTTCGAATGTCTTTTCCACTTGACGAATCCAACGTTCAGCAAAGATTGGATCTGGCTTGCCCTAAAAAATTGGTAGTCTCAATCTCTTAAAGTGATATAAAGTATTATTCCTACCCCGTGGAATTTCATATCGTTCCTCCTAACGCTCAAAGTATCCTCTAATAGTATTGAGGACTTCGTGTATGTCATCTTGAGCATTGGCGGGTGTTGGGGCATGAGGGGCATTCTGCGAAGTCGGAGAAGCTGGTCCATAATTAGTGATAGGTGTACAGGAGGACTGGGTTTGCTCTACGATGCGTGGAGCTTCCAAGATATTATTTGTTTGAAAACCTCTCCGAGTGCGTAGACCAATAGCATTGCGACCATGAGCACCCCGAGTGATAGGACCACTAATCTCTAGAATTGGCTCCATTACTCCTATAATAAGTTAAAGACAATCATCGGTTAGAATCAATCAAGGGACCTAATACACCTACAGGCCCTAGACCATGCTCTGATACCATAAAAGATGTCACATCCTGGATTTTTTTTTTTATATCTTCCCACATATTTAGGCCAAATAGATAAACATCACTTTATTCATCATTCATAAACAATTATTACAATTCATTTATTACAATCCATTTATTCATCGAATCATAAATAGAAAAGTAAACATAGTGATGTTAACTTCAAGAATCATCCAACTGGCTCTACCTAGCGGTAGAGGAAGGTCCGCTCTCCACTGGAATCCAATTTAGTACTAGAGGGAGGCTGCTCTGAAAATCAAAAACAAAGAAAATTCAGCAACGCTGAGTAGGAATCCCAAAAGTCAACTCAAAATGTATACATGATCAAAATTCAATCAATCATCCCATTGGCGTATATCAAAGAAGGAGCACTCCCCCAACAGCGGATGGAGAGGCTTTATCCTACGGGATGAGTTTGTGTTCTCCCAACAGCGGATGGAGGCAAACTCATATCGCACTCCCAACAACGGATGGAGTGGTGTCCCACACCTGCCAAAGTGGGGACACGTTCCTCCCAACAGCGGATGGAAGAACCGTCCAACCGCCACGTCTTACGGCTCGCTAATCCCCGAAGGGAATCGCCCTACCTGCTCTTGGCAAGAAAATAATATAATCACACATTGGTTATGTCCATTTCGGGATGAAATAATATATTTAAAACGTCTCTTTCAAATATCATCAATATCAAATAATATAAATTAGCTCTCAATTGACTTGAACTCTAGTTTAATCGATTCAATTGAACTCAATTTACTATAGCCTAACTGAACTGATATCTAATCCTTATTTAACTAGTCTGGAACCACCCTAGACTAGTATAATTTAGACTAGATTAAGTTCAATTTAGGTTAAACTAACTTGAATAAGTCAATCAATTCGGAATCACCCTGAATTGATCTAGACTAATCAAGTCTAGTTTAGTTCAATCAATATTTGGGCTTAAGTTCAACAATAATATTGGGCTAGATTGAGCCAGTCCATCTACTGGTCATGTGCATTATACATGATTAAGCATGCATTACACAAAACTAGCCTAGCCCTGGCCCATGGACTAGTTTTGTGCGTCGCATGTGACCACCCATAATGGTTGGGTTGGGGTAGCCTACGGGCCAAGGCCTGACCCGTGGGTTGGGCCTGGCCTGTGAGCAATTTCATTCCAATTAATATCTAATTTCATATCATAGCATATACCCATTAACAATATAAATAAAAATATAATAATGTATTAAAAGATAGATGAGGAGAAAAGCTTTAATACAAGGAAATAACATTCTAAATTTGATTAGAAATCATAAGACATTAAAAGAGGGATCGGGAGATAAGTTTTAATATAAGAAAATAGCCTTTTAAATTCAAATAAAAATCATGTTTTCAACACATATAAAATTTCAACATATTCTAGTCATATTTTAAATCATTCAGAATAATATATTTTAAATTTAATATCAAATAATATCAAAAAGGATTTTAGATAACATATTCTAATCTAACAAGATTTTAATTCAGATAAGATTGAAGATAAACTGTAATACAAGAAATATCATATAAAATAAATATATTTTTAACATATTTAACTCTACAATAAAAACCTTAATCATGGGTCAAAGAATATTATGAAAACTTTAACTAATTAATTTAATGCAAAAATTTTGACATTTAAAGAATTGATACATATTTTTCAAACTATAAAACTTTCAACATTTAAAGAATCAAAATAAAAGCTAAAACTTTTAAATTTAAGAAAGGTAGGGAAACCTAACTCTTGTCAACAGGGTGTAACTCCTCGTTCCTCCCGCTGCCAGGCTCGACTAGGTGCGGAACGAATGAGAGAAATCCCTCCCTTTAAATAGGAGGAGGTGAGCCTCTATTAAGGAAAATTTATTTTAATTTTTATATTTATTTAATATAAATTATTTCTATTTAATATACTAATAAATATGATATCATCATATTTGGAATACTTAATAGTTATTTTCTTAATTCATATCAACAGACAAGGAAGTAGATTACGATTTTCTTAAATTATAATAACAAGTAAGAAAATAAAATCAATTCTTAACTTAAATATTCGATGTGATTACCACAAGGGTTGACTTAGAAGTTCAATGAAATCGCCATTTTACATCGAAGCAGTAGAGAAGTCCTTGAGACTTGTAGAGTGGTCCATGTTTGATCCAATAAAATGGCATGATGTCTGCAGTTTGATGATGAGTTGCATCTGATTAGAGCAGAATGCTCAAAGCTTTAGGAAAACTAGTGGAAATCAAATCTGAGGAAGCTCTCAAGTTTGAATTCTCTACGATGTTGAACGGAATTATCATACTTAATGAGAGAAACCAAAGAAATGTCTCCATTAGCTAGCATTTGAACACCAGAATTCTTCACTAAATATTATTCCCTTTTTTCTAACTTGTATCCAAATAATGACCGGGCAGCACTTCAAAAAGACATCTGCCGGAGGAGAGTCACCTTTTACCTTTTTATTTGGACTTTGATCTCCCAACTTGTTAATGATTTTATTGAAGACAAATTGGTGGGTCAATACTCACGTGTGAGAAGAGAGATAAGATCAAATTTTAGCATTGAATGTGACATTTCAGTGATTAATTATCTTGGTAAGAAAGTGGCAGGCATGCATGCATGCATGCATCTTAAAATTTATGGTTCATGAAGCCAATTTTAAGATTCTTAGTGCATAGCCACATGCAGTAATTGGATGTTGATTAATTTGCAAAGTTCTAAAACTATTGTATTTAAAACTATCATCTTAATCATGAATGCACCTACTTAATCAACTACAAAGTCAAAATGTATGTACAGGATGAATTGAATAACATCATCAAGTTCAAATGACAACAGAAAGTGGCTTGATACTGAAACTTCTTTTCTTTGTGTAATTGTATTATATTCTAAGGGTCTCATTTAGGGTTCCTTTGGACTGGAAATCATGTGTATATATACATCTATCATCTTCTAATTCATCATGCCAAACCTAGTTTTTACCCTACAACATGCCAAGCATATGCTGTCGATTAGAAATCCCTAAAAGAATGGCAAGTCTGCAGTAATGCGTCTCCGATGGAAGCTGGTCAACTCTCGAGGGCTGCATCTTCATGCATGCAGCTGGCACCTCCCATCAGACTGCAGCATGACGAGGCCATCAATGCGCGAGCAAACCGAGGAATCCTTAGCTCATTGCGTCGGCACCACTCTCTTGGGAAGCGTGCCTCTCGACGACTGCGTAACCATTTGTTAATGGCGTCTGAAGCTACAGTAAACATGACCACGCAAAGAATTCTTTTCAGAACAAAAACGAGCGGGAAACAAAAGAAGCATAAAGAAAAGGAACTCGTGGAGATTTGCAAGAAAAGCCATAGGTGTTGCGATCAGCTGTCAGCAACCAATTGCAGCTTCGCTGCTAATGAACAGCTGATGAGTCAATAATGTTGACCATACAAAAGCATACATTTCGTTCTATATCAGCAACTGTACTACTGCTGCTACTGATAGGAAGAATATATTACAGAAAGCCATGTAACAAGAGACCTAATAATACTCTTTATCATCGACGCTAGCACATAATAAATATCGGATTAAACATATTTATCGATGGCCCGATGAACACCATGATAGATGTTATAAATCTAGGATGTGGTGAGTATTGATAAGCATATTAATTCTATATCGATTGAGAAACAAAGATTATAAGATCTCATAATATCTTTTATCTTTACAAGTGTTATTATGCAAAATTTATCCCAGAATAGATAATTCCTTGTAAGTCACATGCTCATGTGCATGCGGTTAAATATACTCACGGTGTGATATAATAGGAGGCCTTCGTTCCCTGTGAATCCGAGAGTAATTCTGAGACGACCTGAAAGGATCCATCATTGGGTTCAACGTGAACGCACCCCGTCACATGGGAGATGCCATGCAGCATCATGACACACTCATTGCAAGACTTCCCACCTTGTGGTGTGGTTGACGTGAAGCCATTGATATTTTATGGCCGCCACATGTTCGAATTCACGCTGAATCCCAATGAGGCCAATAAGAAGAGAACGAGAGAGAGAGAGAGAGAGAGAGAGAGATGGGCACCACCAGCCTCCCGTTTCGGAGACTGCTCGTCTCCGTTCTCTCGATAGCGATCTGCTCGATCGCTCTGCACTGCCACGTCGCATTGGCGGCGCAGGATGAGTACGCCGGCGTGGTCACGACCCACTTCATGGGGCTCAATCCGCGTGCAGGAAGCCGGTTCCTGGCGGCGGCGAAGAAGGGGGACAGATGTGATCCCGTCAAAAACAACGTGTGCCTGGGGATCAAAGCCAAGAATGGCAGCCAGCTGCTGCAGTGCTGCAAGAACCACTGCCGCAACGTGCTCTCGGATCGGAACCACTGCGGCTACTGCGGCCACAAGTGCGGGTTTGGCCAGCTGTGCTGCCGCGGCAAGTGCACGGCGGTGGCCTACGACGTCAGGAACTGCGGCAAGTGCGGAACGGTGTGCTCGCCGGAGCTGCGGTGCGAGTACGGCAGCTGTGGGTACGCCTGAAACGGTCATCCCAAGCGCGAGAACTGCTGGTAAGTTACAGTCTTGAGTGTGATGCATCATGCAAGCCGAGGAAGGATGAATAGATTCACGCATTGTAAACTTGTTATCTCTTCATTTACAGTGACAATAACAATAAGGGCAAAGGCATGGCTTATGCCCCGCCCGGTTCATTGTTTTACTTCTACTTCTCTCTTCTCATCTCATCTCTCTCTCTCTCTCTCTCTCTCTCTCTCTCTCTCTCTCTCTCTCTCTAACCAATGCAGTATATGAGTAGATTCAAATCGGATTGAGCCGGACTGGAATTAAAACAGGTCAACGTTTCAGTGATTCTGAATCGAATCGAAACCAGTCGTCACACCGTTCAATTTTAGTTTCTAGAAATTATAATCGAAACTGAAACCGACGGGATTATTGATCGAGATTCAAATGTTGGTGAAGTGTTTTAGTTTTTTATTTATTTCAATTAAAATTATTAGATCAAATTGGAATCGGTTTGGTGGAATCGAGAATTGTTCGATTCTTATTGATCGTCTGCATTACAATGCACATAGGTAAGCTTGTCTCTTTCATAATGCATTGGACAACGAATGTGAGATTAAATGGTCTTATCATGCTCTCATGTTCTCTGATCTTGGTGGTCTTGTGTGAACTCATCTCTTGTTCTTGATGAATAGAAGAGGGGTGACGGGAAGTACTTAGATTATTACTACAATTTCTTGTTATTTTTACCGTTGTAGTTATTATCATTGTTGCGAATCATGTTGTGATCAAATATTCTGATCCTTGCTAATTAACAATAACAAAGTCTGAAAACTTAGACAAAAAAAATTATGATAAATTCAAGGCAAACAAGCTAAATTAATCAAGGTAAAAAAACTAAAACTAAAACCATGATCTATTGCCACATTTCAATTGTCATATATAATTAATATGATCATTTTTTTTCTAGTGAATCATACATAGAATCCAATCAATAACCAATAAACATGTCATATCAACTACTAGAGAAGACGAAGAACTTTTGGCATGCCACATTAGTAGAATGCCTAAATGAAATTTTTTTTATTAAATCAGTGGTTATAAGAATAACACTATATAAAGCAACCTTAGGTAAGTTTTCACTCGAAACTTATTAAACGAAAATTGATGATATTTATATACCTACGAAAGCATGCTAACTTAACCTTTGGAAAGATTTTGCTAGATAAACCTCTAACACAATCTTTTATAGGAAGTAGGATATGAGATATGAGCATCTTTCATCCTCGAATCAAAGTAGGACAATGAACATAGGACATAACTATTTTTCACTTTCTTCAAAAATTTTCCATCATTCATGTTCTAAATATCTATGGTAATACCTAAAAAAGGGGTTAGATCACTAAGTCGATCCATATCATATTGGTAATTGAAAGAGGACCATCGAGACATTTATCATAGGAAAACCAAACACAAGAAGTCCGACATTAATGTGTTAGCGAAAAGATCCCTCTACCTTCTCTTCCATAGGCAAGTCTTGATTGCAATAATTAACCTTAGGCAAGAAGTCCGACATTTATCATAGGAAAACCAAACACAAGAAGTCCGACATTCATTGCAATAATTAACCTTAGGCAAGAGACCTCTACCTTCTCTTCCATAGGCAAGTGACCTCTACCTTTTCCTCCATAGGAGCATCCCAAATGCACACTATCAATGATAAGTCTGGAGCGACTATAGTTTTCTTTTCCCAACTGTTCAAGTCATCATCTTCATTCACCTTACCCAATAAGTCTAAGTCTTGATTGGGATGATGTCGATCATCATCCATTTTCTCATACAATCAATGAATTTGGTAGCAACACAGAATCTAGTTGTTTATCAACCATAAGAAGTTCCTTAAGTGGGGCTCATTCCAAGCTCCGTATGAACCTCTAGATTGGTCATCCCACCAAGTGATCCAATATCACAACCACCTTCTCAAATACCACAATTGCTTCCTCAACATATCAATCTGATTTAATCTCAACCACATTTACCTCAATCTGAAGTGCACACCACAGACAATGTAGTCCTACCTTGCACAAATAATTGCTAAATAGTTCAATTATATTTTATGAGACATAAAATCCAGTAAGCGAAAGAGATCAACCAAGTGGTGTTATTTCAATCATCGAATTTAAGATGACCCTATTCCTTTCAATTTTCTTCTACCCAATTTGAAGACCTTAGATGGAAATGCTAATCCCACGTAACATGTTTCTATGTTCAGGCCATAAATGGTCTAATATACAACCTCTAATGCAGTTTTTTTCTGACTACTCTATGAGGAAATGCTCAAGCATGATGCTCTCACCTTTCCTTCACCTCGATCACATTCTTTGGGCAGTCGCCGAACGAATTTAGACTCTACTTCAGGAGCAATCAACACTCGAAGAAGGTTGCATCAATATGAACAGTCAACACTCGAAGAAGTTTGCAATACTACTCCAAATCAGCTGATGTTGGTCACCTCAACTTGACATCAACCGAATCCCCTTCTTTATACATTAAAAGTATTTACCATAAAAATCGAAGCTTTTACCTCGAAATGCAACATAATGTATATATTTTTGTGTTTATGGCACCTGATGTGACCAACATGTCATATTTACATGTGATGCATTCGTAAAAATAAAAAATCATTTGAAGTGCTCAACACATCCTAAAACGTTTCATTTATACATGATATATCCGCGTAGGATGAAAAGTATATGAAGCATTCAATTTGCTTATGATGAGTCCGTTTTGGATAAAAAAAATATCTAAAAACTCTCGGTGCGTCCCAAGGTACCTCATTTGCAGATGATACATTCATCCAAGATAATAAAAAAAAATCCACAATACCCAACCTAATGTATTACACTATCTCCCTTGTGTGTGATGTGTCCATTTAGGAGAAACAAGCATCTTAAGTGATGGACACATTCCAAAGTGTCTCATTCGCTCATTATGAGTTCACCCAAGAAAAAGCACCTAAAGTTTCTAATGCATCAAACACATTCAAGACATCTTCTTTGAACATAATGTATCTGTTTAGAATAAAAAATATTGAAAGCACCTAACACATCCCAAAACATCTTATTTGTGAAAAATGCATCTATCTAAAATAAGAAAAGTAACTAAAGCACAATTTAACGAATTTTTTAATGCAGGGGGCAATGATGGAGGCCTTGAAAATGACATTATAAATAAAATGGACAAACCCTTAAGCAGAATAAGAGACAAATAACATGACTATTATTTTTGATCAATTGGAACTTGACACATAAAATCTAGTCAATACCTATTGGACATACTATGATGTCACGTCAATATGTCATATAAAGAAAATATTCTCATTTAATTGATGTTTATAGGAACAACGTGACATTCTCAATTATGTTTTAGTTTGAAACTAACTAAACAAATACCTACGAGATTTATATGCTTATGGATGGGTATTAACTTGACCATTATAGAGGTTTCATCTAACAAACTCCCAATGAGATATAAAATATAAGTATCTTGTATAATACAAGTATCTTCCATCGTAGAAGGTTTTTATTAGAATAGGATATAGGAGTATCTTATATAATACAAGTGTCTTATATTATAGAGGGTTTTTATTAGAATAATCTATAACTTGACCATTATAGAGGTTTCGTCTAACAAACAGGAAGCAAGATATAAAATACAAGTATCTTCCATCTTAGAATCAAGTAAGATAAAAGAGATATAAGACATAAATGTCTTACACTTTCAAAAAAAATTCTTATCGTTAAAGTTCCGTCAAGTCAAATTAATGACTAAATTTAATCTTATCATATGTTAAAAAATATTATTAAAACAAGTTCACATTCATTTTAATTGTAAGTTTTGATTAAATTAGTTTTTATTAGAATAGTCATTGAGATGATCGAATGATACTATATGGACTAGGAAAAATCCTTTCAAATTATATTGTAATTCCCTTATCTCTATGGGATCATGGTGTATCAAACCCACTTAAAGAGGGCTTGACATCATCTATGATAATATTTTATATATTGATCTTGTTAGGGTAAAAATGACATGGTCAACATGTCAGCACCACATGCTGACTCGTCAACTCCACTTTGATCGACATGACTGATGAGCTAACTCTATATAGTCAATATATCGGTTCCATGTGAAAGATACATCGGCTCTATATAGTCGACATTTCATATCCTTATGGTGACGTCAACTCTACGTAGTTAATCAATGGGCTCCACGTGACAAATGATAGAGTAACTTGGTCGACCATTCATCGCCACCTCAATATCTTACATATTCCCTCTAAGGAAAAGCTAGGTCGTGCCTAGTGAATGTCACATGAAGGATAGTTATGAAATTCTAGATTCAACACAAGTTGATGTCAGTTATGGTCTGACTTCATACTCCTATTACTACACAAACCAAGCAATGAGTGGGTGTAATGGTTCCAAACACCTACTAGAAAAGAGGATACACAAGTACATCCTAATGTATAGAACAATTCAAGTCTAACCTATCCGACTATATTACTAACTTAAATTTTAGAGGAAAATTGTCTGGAGTGCCACCGATATAGTTTTGCAAGATTTGGACACTTCTTGAAGGAAGATTGACTTGAGAAAAGAATTATGTTGGATCCGAATCAGCACCCAGCTTGGACAACTAAGTCTCCTCTGCATATCTTTGTTGGCTTTGGGGGTGCGACGACAAATGGGGCATCGGAGAGCGCTTTTGCCTAACTTAGGGTCTCGACAACCCCCTCCCTTTAGTGATTGGTCAATAATACTCCCTACCGATCTCTTCTTCTCTTCAAGCCTGGGTCAGGAAATGACTGTCTTTGTTCGCCTACCTTGGAAGTGATTGTTTATCTCTAGAACGATGCCTTAGATGTCTATATTTGTAAAAAGGAGACCAAGTTTCAAACAACCCAAATAAACTATCAAACAAAATTCTAACTTCTTACCCCTAGGAATAGGGCTAAGCCCTAAGTTAATGAGTCACTGCTCACTCATTTGAAGAGTGATGGTGGCCTTAGTTAGGGCTAGAGCAAATTGATGAAACTATCCTTTTTTTTACCAATATAATCGCAGGGCGACATTGGAGAATTTTTGGATGGACTAATCGAAGTTGATCAACCACTTGTTCCTCGAATAGACAAATAGGAATCTCCTCTTCCAACCCTTGCAGGAGGTCGGAGCCTCCTTAACCTAACATTCCTGATCAAGCAAAGTGGAAATATACCTACTAAAGTACATGCTATAGCAAGCCAATAAAAGAGTTAGTGTCGAGGTGCTATGAAGCCTTTCGCATTCCCTAACAAATATTGTAAGAAAGCACCATGAGTTCAGCACCATCTAGGTGGATGAAAACTTTCAAAAATTGAAACTTCAATAAAAAATGGATATAGAGAAAAGTAAAGCCTTGCCTCCAGTACATTTGTGTATGTTGAAAATATATAATGTGACACATAAGGTCAATCACTTAGTTGAGTAGGCACCAGCTTGAACTCAACCGATATATGATACATTTATTAGAGTATCTCCAAGTTGGGGGTCGATGCTACGGAGTTCGAGTTAAAGGACTCCGCTATATATGGTGGGGCTATGTCGTAAAGTGGATTCACCTCTGAGAATCAAACTTCCACCATTGACACTTAGGGTGGTGATAAGATCAGTGACCTATCCAAGTTTGACGAGCTAGAGAAAAAGGTTGGAGATGACATTGACCTTTTGGTTGTCAGTAGAGTAGAGTCAAAGCCATTATCCGATGATGTCTAACTTGCAAGTAGAAGCGAGGAGCAACCATCACCTTAAGCTATTTATAGGGGACCAGGGTGACATTTTCATTATCCAACTACCTTTTTAGCTTTTGAATATACCCAAGGGTCATTTGGATCATCAAGGAGATCTCGTTGAATTCATCATAATCCACATAACGTCCACATGGCGAGTAATGATTTTGCCATGTCACCCATCACGATTGGGTATAATACATGATTAATGATCAGATCACACATGGATCTACCTAGATTCTCTTGCCCACCAAGAAAGGGAGCATGTGTAGCACATGTTTGGCCTCATCGGTCCACTATGCGATGTCACACCCAACCTCATCAAACCACTATACGTCGTCACACTCGACCTCGTTGGCCCACTATGCACCATCGCACTTGACCTCGTTGACCCATTGAGTGCTATTGTGCCCAACCTTGTTGGCCCATTATGCACCGTTGCATTTGACCTTGTTGACCCATCAACGACCACCACGATAACCATTGAACGATGCCTCGGGCAACTTAGTTCCTGGGCCCTAGGAGACCCTATAGCCCTCCACGTCGATGATAGACATCAACTGACCACTCCTACTCGAGTTGATTCCACTACGCTCCTCAGGCTAAGAATTGGATGGGTATGTATTAAGGCAAAAACAACATGGCTAACATGTTAACGCCGCATACTGGCATGTCCACTTCATTTTGGCTAACATGACTAGCTACATGGTTAACAAGCCAACTCCACATGATCGATATGTCAGTTCCACATTGAAGACACATAGGCTTCACATGATCGATACATCAACTCCACGTAGTCGACTAGTGGGCTTCATGTGGCTAACATGACGAAGCAACTTGGTCGACTATTCATTGCCACCTTGGAGTCTTATAGATTCCCTCTAAGAAAAAGTCAACTAGTCGTGCTTCATTAATGCCATATGAAGGAGAATTATGGAATCTCATATTCAACATAAGATGATGACAGTTATGCTCAAACTTTACGCCTACACAAATCGTACAGTAAATAGGTGTAACAATTCTTAACACCCATTGCAAAACAGGGGTACATAGGTATATCTTAGGATACAGAATAATTCAAGTTCGACCTACTAATTAGACTACGAACTTAAGCTTCGGAGGGGTATTATCTGAACTGCCCCCGATATAATTTTACAGGATTCCAACATTACTTAGAGAAATTTTCCTTAACACAGAAAAGAAGTATTCTCCAAATCAACACCTAATTCAAACAATCAAAATCTGTTTTATATTAGAATATAAAACCACACTTATAAAAAGTGAAAGTTTTGGATACTTATGCTTTTTAATTTTTTGAAGTCAAATAATTTAACTGCTAAATATACCTCCCAGGTCCCGTTATAATATACCTTTCGTACTATTTATGTCACCCAATTGCTTACCTGCCTTGAGTCCCACCGACAGTCCGTAAATTGGGCTCGTCGGTCCCACATTCATCCAACCACAGTGCAGGTAGACATGGGAGTACAATAAAACGAGTAGAAAGTATTGCTCTTTGCGACCTATCTCCATGGTGATCTGGCCAAAATCTGCAGTCATCGGATGCCACGTATCCAATAAGTTGCTTTTGTCATCCCACGACACAGACCCAAACTAATACCTCATTCGTCACACAGCGTGGCAGTAACTGAAGAGGAAATGTACCAAATCACGGTGGTGATCAATCCAATGAAATTTGACGGCCAAGATCATTAGGGTTTCATTAAAGGTCTTCCTTTGTGGGTGTGAAAAACACATTTCCTAACAGCAAAGGAAAGCCGAGGGCTCCCGAGTGTTCACACGCCTCTGATCTACCCTCGAAATTACTCGCGTTAAGTTCTGACATACAAACTGTGGACCTCACCGGTCCCAGATGATTGCTTCACGGTGCGTCGCACAATTAGTTGGGTATGAACGCAGACCGCGGAGACGAAGGAATTCTTTTCTGTCCACGTCGCCGCTCCTCGAAATTGGAATTACCAAATCTTCAGTAAATATATGTCCAATCCACCAGACATTTATCTCTCTCTCTCTCTCCCCGTCTCTCTCTCTCTCAATCGAGCTCGCCTCCTCCCTCCCTTGTATTGGCCGCTGGTAAGATTTCCTTGGTTAGGCCCTCTATATTGTTCTACCAAAGCAAGGCTACCCGATCGCTGAGGAAGGGGAGCCTGCCCGCCTTCGATCCGATCCGAGGTAAGGATATCGATCCCATCGTCTGGATCTGTTGTATCGTTGGGATAATCAATTGTTCCGCTGATCTGCTCGTAGATCGGGGCGGTGTTGTTGACCTTTAAGGCTCTGGTGATTCTCCTACTGTGATCCGATCGTTTCTTGATCTTGATCGTTCATTGTGTCGGTCTGGAATTTTGTGGCTTCGTTTTTGTTGAATGGAGATTTGTTGGGATCGAATTTTGGGTCGATCTCGAAGGGGAATGAGGGAGGTACGGTCTTCGTTCGGCAAATGGAAGAGGAAAATGAGAGAAATCGGATGGGACTTTATGGAGTAGCGGGGGTTGTGTCTATTTAATTCGATATTCTTCTTAGACTGGATTGTGTGGCATAATTGGATCATCTGTTATTCCAATAAAGCATTGTTTTCTCTTTAACGATTTTTTTGTGGTTTGATTCTTGTTGAAAGAAGACGAATATTCGATTGGTTGTGAAGAGTGTGGGAGGGATCGGTGAATGAAAGGTGCAAAGGAGAGAACTTGGATGTGATTTGCCAAGGAACAGTTGGCCCACTGTTGATTTAGTGGATATTCTTAAAAGTTTGTTCCAGTAAGGTGTCTTTTTGTCTCATCTTGATATTGTTTTTAGAATTTGTGGTTTGCTTCTTGTCCAAAAAAGCGATATGGGGATCAAATTTTGGATTGATTGTGAAGAGACTTAGGGGGATTTGGTCTTCGATTGGTAAATGAAGTGTGGAAAGGAGAGAACCTGGATTTGATTTGCCAAGGAACAGCTGGCACACTGCCCATTTAGCGGATATTCTCCTTAGACTGGATCAAGTGGATTATAAAATCATGTGTTTGTTCCAATGAAGCTTTTTTTCTTTCTCTCTTGTTGATTATTTTTAATTTGTATTTTTGTTCGTGTTGATGGGGTTGGGATCTTTGATTGATTGTGAAGAATCTTGAATCTCTAAATAAAAGAGGAAAACGGAGAGAACTTGGCTGTGATTTATCAGAGGAACAATTGACACACTGACACTATCAATTTGGTGGGTATTCTCTTTGGAGTGGGGTCATGTGTTTATTCTGATAAAGCAAATTTGTGCATCTCTTGATGATTTTCTTTTTAATTTTGTGGTTAGGTTCTTGTCGTAGGAGAGTTGTGGGGATTAAATGTTCACTTGATTTTGAAGAGAATGAGGGAGGTAGTGTCTTCATTGGTAATGACTGTGTAAAGGACAGTAACCAGTTGTGATTTTCTGAAGTAACAGTGATCACACTGTTGATTAGTTGATATTCTTTTTAGACCGGATCGAGTGGCATAATAGGATCATGTTCCAACAAAGCATTTTAATATCTTGCAATTTGGTTCTTGTTGAAAGAAGCATTGTGGGGACTGAAGCTGCATTTGGGAACACATTTGCATTTCTAACGTACAGTTGGAGAAAGGAGTTTGCGTGAATGTAAAATTATGGAATGCTTTAAGTGTTTGGTAAACAATAGATGAAAATTATATTTTAAATGTGGATTGACGTAAATGTTGTTTGGTAAAATTGTATTTCAAAAGTCAATTGAATATTTTATGGCAAATATACCCTTTTAACATTTTTTATATTTATTCTAAAGTAAATATATATTTTTTATTTAAATTAATAAGTAAAGAAATAAAATGAATAAATGAATTTTATTCATTCATTTAAAAATAAAATGAATAAAATTTTACCTTATAGAAAATATAAATAATATTGATTTTTCACTAAACTATTTTGGTAATCTTGTAATTTAGATAGTCATAGGGTACATTCGGAATTTGAAAAATTACATTAGCATCCTGCAAATGCTAAAATGCTAATGCTATCCTAAGGTAGGATCAGTGTTTGAGCATTTCCAATGTAACATCAAAGCGAGATGCGATTTGAAAAAAATTAACAAACATCAATTTACATTTGAAATATGCATTGGACCCTCAATGCACATTTCAAATGTGCACTGTGTGGACTAAGTGTTTGATTGATTGTGAAGATAATGAGGGGGTATGGTCTTCAATCTGTAAATAAAAGATTGTAAATGAGATGACACGATTTGATTTGCCAGAGTTACACTGCATGCATTATCAATTAAGTGAATATTCTCTTTAGACATGATGGTGGCATAAAGGAATCACAATAAACCATTTTGTTTCTCTTATTGCTTTTTGTTATCTGTTCTAATGTTCATTCCTTAAGAATCTTTCGTACGTCGAGTAGATTTAGTATGTAGTTCTTGATGCTTGTTTGGTTAGCTGAGAAATTTTGAAGACCATGTGCATGAGCTGTAAATGCATGTAGTCCACCACTTGGATGCTTGTTGGTCGGCCTTTCCACATGACTGAATAATAAGATTACATTGATCGAACTGTGATCATGCAGGGGCACATTTTCTGCTTTCTGCTTGATATGTCCCAACACATTCTTGAACCATGGATGGATGATACTTGTGTCAGAAACTGTATTATTTAAGATCTTTCTTTCTAAGAATTCCTCTCTTATAATGTGTTGACTTGGATCTTCCCAACATCCATTTTTGTGGACATTGATTTTTTTTTGTTACAGCTAGCTAATAATATCAATCCTAATGTTCTACAGTACCATAGGAAGATAAATTTGTTGTTCTACTGAATGTAGTGATAAACCCCAGTTTATGATTTTGTATTCTTTTAGATGTTGCCATCTGCATCAGGCATGTGGTGATGGTCATGCCCTGTATTTTTGTTGCTGTTCTGTTGTTTCACTGACTTGGTCTCTGTAAAAGTTTAAGGGCTGGTCTCTATTGGAGAGGAGTGTCAGAATAGGAATACAGTTTAATCCTCCGATTAGAACTAAAACAGGTAAAAATGTGAAATAATATAAATATAAGTTAGAAATTAAAACTTGGAGGTGTGACAAATGTTGTCCTAAGTTTGTTTCGTTGGCCCTCGTGCTGGTGCTCGTCGGGGAATTGCCCAAGATACAATTGGGTTTGATCATCTTGTGTGCATATTTGTGGAGAATCGTTCGAATGGTCCACACACCAATAGCAGAAAATCAGAAGGACAGTCGGAAGTAATCAGAAACTCAATATCAAACCTGGTTATATCTTGGGTGAATCCCTGAGGAGCACAGCACGAGGGTTGAGGGAATACGCATAGGATAACGTTTGTCATGCCTTCAAGTTCTAATTTCTAATTTCTGTTTTTATTATTTCATATTTTTACTTGTTTTAATTCTAATCGAAGGATTAAACTGTATTCCTGTTTTGACAATCCAAGTATGCCAAATCATACTTGGATGTCAATGATAAATTGACATCTTATATTTAAGATAACAGTTTTTTAGTTGTTTTACTTATTTTTGGATGTTTGTTCCTCTTTCTTTTCCTCTGTCTCTCTCACATGCTGATCTTATAGTAGATTATACACTGTTGTTTGGTAGTGCTGCACTGCTGCTCATATTAAATTTTCACATCTTTTGACCATCATTAAGCCATTAAGGTCTAAATTGTTTTGACATTTCCATGCAGTAAAAAGGCTGCTTTGTGCTTTTGTCTGAAAGCTTTTGAGTACAAAACCATGTTTTAATCAGCTAAGCACGGAAATATATTGCAAAGATTTCACTAAATTTACCAAGAGAACTAGATCTTTATACAAAATTATACTTTCCCATGTTAAGTAACTTCTGGTTTGTTAAAAGAATCTAGTCATTTCTATTTTAAATGGTAATATTATCTTGATTCATTTGTACTTCTTAGCATAAAAGACAGTTTTTATCACATTGGGCATGCTTGTTACAACTTTTGAGTATCTATTTGATTTTAGCAAACATATGGGTGCTGAGGGAAGCATGTAAGGCAGATTTTTCTTTTGAATCATGTTCTGCTTGCTGATATTCATTTATTATAGATTCTGAGACCTACATAATATTTTTTGGCAGAATCATGGTTGTGGAGACCCTAGAGCATGATACTACTCAAGACAACGTCAAAGGAACTGAAGGGGACACAAAACAGGGACAGGGGCCTGAGGAACCAGTGAGTTTTGGTTTGGTAGATAATTCAAATGGTGCAAATGGAGATGTCAAAGAAGGGGATCACCTGACCGATGCAAATCTTCCAAAGGATGCTGTGGATGAGTGGCCTGCTGCAAAAAAAATTCACACTTTTTATTTTATCAGGTACAGGACCATTGAAGACCCTAAACTTAAGGCAAAAATTGACCATGCTGACAAGGAGATCACAAAGAGTACCCAATCCAGGCTTCAGATAACTGAAGCATTGAAGGCAAAACGGGTATGCCATAATAAATTAATTTTGCAGTCGGTGTTTGCTTTTTCTCTTTTTGAGCTTCATGCATAGCTGTACTTAGAAATCATTTGCATATGGTATGCCAATCTTTATAGTCATGGACTAGCAATTTCTAATATATGATAGTGAGAGAAGTGAAATAAAAACCAGAGTTGAGGCTTTGAAATCATACAAATCTCACCTGTGTTTAATGTTTTTGTTGTAGTCTGAAAGATCAAATGTGATTTCACAACTAAAGCCTCTGACTGCTGAGGACAAACAGTACCGTATGATTATGGATGAAAAGAGAAAGTCGATGGAACCTCTTCAAGATGCTCTAGGAAAGCTGCGCAGTGCAAATATTGCTGTGAGGGAAAAAGGCGTGGGTTTGTGTTCTTCAGAGGAAGAGCTTAATGATCTTGTAAGATATAGCTGATCTGTTATTGGTTCGTTTTCCTGTTTTGTGTATATGACTCTTGTTCTTATTTTCATGAGACAGATCTATAGCTTGCACTACCGTATGCAGCATGAGACTCTCACCTTGGTTGAAGAAAAACAGTTGATTAAAGAGATTAAACTACTAGAAGGAACAAGAGAAAAAGTTATTGCTAATGCTACTGAGAAGGCTAAGATTCAAGATTCTTATGGTCATAGAGATGCTATTCAAGGCCAGGTCAAAGTAAGTGGCAACTATTCTATCATACTTTGTAGTCAATTAATAGAACTTCAAAGATGTTGTTGAATCCCTGTTGGAATGTGTTTCCTTTTAAGAAACATATGGGATATTATCAATTTTGGGTTTCATGCTTGCAGCTAATAAATGATGACATTGGCGGAATAAAAAAGGAGAAACAGGCAGTTCGAATGAAAATAAAAGACCTTGAGGAAGAACTGAAGGCCATAGACGATGAAATCAGTTCCTTACAAGAAGAGTTGGATGTCATCAATAAGAAAAGGAATAAGGCATATGAAACTCTTATTGAGTTGAGAAAATCTCGTGATGAAGTGGTATGGTTTCTACATCTAATTTTCAACTTTATATTACTCCTGCTTCAGTTCTAAAACTAATTGAAGTCTAGAATCATCTTGACACAATACCATGCCTATGGATTGTGGTGTAAATGACATATTTCCATCATGGCAGCCAACATGGGCATGGTGAGATCCCTCGTCTTTGGGATATTTAAGATACATTGGGGAGTTTTGTTCAATTTTGTCAAATGGATATGTATCACTCCCACAAGTATCGACATGTGGTGTAAAAATTTCAAACACTCTTTTGGTGAAGTAATATAACAAAGTAATTCTCATCAACGATAAATTTTTTAAGCTGATATAGGGTGCAAAAGCATTCCATACAAAAGAATTTTTTGAATTAAAAAAGATCAGATGAATAAGTTGTTTTTCACAATAATGCTTGGTGCATTGGCTTTAATCACTCCTTGTTCTTATTATTTTGGTGATCATATGCCTTGTTCAACTCTTTTATGTAGGATTAGTATGATTCTACATTCTCAATGGCATAACTAAGCCCATACTGTTGCAGCTGATATTATTTAATTATTAACATTTGATTACGAGCTAGTTGGCTTGCACTAACAATACTAGCTTATCTAGCTTTATTTGTTTATTCACATAGTTATTGATTTATCAAGTTCGACTCTTATGAACTAAAGGTTTTAATTAATGGCAAAACTAAATATATGATATCTAATCTTAGTAATAGCAAGACAAAAAAAAATGTAGTGAAGATGGATGGATACTAAGTTCTTAAAAGTAAGAATTTTAGGTTTCTAAGGGATTAATGAAGATGTGATCTATAGAGCAAACTAAGTAGCTATGTGGAGAGGGGTTTTGGAGGTTTTGTGCGATCATTGGGTTCCATTTAAATTACTGTATATAAGATAGTTGTTGGGCCAGTTTTGCTATATGAATTTGATCTTTGGATGATAAATTAATAATTTGTATAAGAAGTTAGTATAGTTAAGATTACATTATTGGATACATGAAGTAACTATGACAGATATAAAAAAAATATTTTTGTTCCTGAATGATTATATGTAGCTGACCCCAATTAGTTGGGACCAAGGATAAAGGTTTTGGTGCAAGCCCTACACCAGGTCCTGGTTGGACCAGTGCAGATCCGATACATACCAGCACACCAAACATTGTACACTGGCATGAACCAAAGAGAAATAGGGATAGAAGAGGAGAGGAGGATGAGAATGAGGAGAGTAGGATGGAGAGGCGGTCGTGGAGGAGAAGTATCAAAGATGGCAAGGTAGGTGGTGGCATGAGACGGAGAGATTCAAGAAAAAGAGAGTGCATGGAGAATCAGGAGATATATATATATAGGAAAAGTAAAAATATATAAAAGCAGTTGTCCCTATCAAATTTGAATTGGACTGAGCATAATCGCTAGGTTTGGGTTGTAGTTCTTAATCACCCCGGTTAATACAAGGCAGTTTGAACTGGTCCAACCAGTTTTTTTAACATAATAGACGATAAAGTGAGGTAGAATCATCTAGGGTGCTATGAAGAAGTTTAAAAGAGATCTCTAGATGTTTGAATATGACTAGAGAGGGTGAGTCGATTAAGATTGTTGATGTTAGGAGAGGGTGAGTGAGACGTAAGAAGATTTTGTTAGAATCAATGAAAAGAGATTGAATGCTTTTAAATAAATATAGAGATATTGCCGTACATAGAGCTCTATGATGAAAAAGATAATCCAAGTAGTGGGGCATTGTAACTTTTTGTTGTTATTGTTGGTGGTGCTCTTTTATGAGATTGGCGCTAGTCACTTGTTCTTTGCCGTGGGATTCAACATATTGGCATGACACATGTTTCTAAATTTCTGAGCTGCGATGCAAACGAGGTTGATGACTTGTTTCATGCTATGTTGTAAAAAGTGGCTGATGGTATATTATGTTTGCATTTTTCCTTGTCAGCCTAATGCTGTTTCATGTCTATATCTCTTTGATATTTCAGAATGCTTGTTATTTCCAAAATCGTTCCTTGTTAAATCGTGCAAAGGATCTTGCTGCAAAGAAGGATATAACATCACTGGAAGACCTAATGCATAGTGAGGTTTGTGTCAAATGTCATTTTATTTGTCATCTGAACTGTTCAGATGTCATTGTACTTCCTTTCCAATCTTAGGTAGAGCAATTTATGTCCGAGTGGAGTAGTAATAAAGCCTTCAGAGAAGATTATGAGAAGAGAATATTGTCATCACTTGACAGTAGGCAACTGAGTAGGGATGGACGGATGAGGAACCCTGATGAGAAGCCCATTATCTCTGAGGCACCGGCGACCAGAGATGTTGAGAACTTGCCGGCAAAAGTGAATGCCAAACAAGCATCGAGTGCTAAAGAAGCGAAGGAAGATAAACTTGTACCTCCACAGCAGGATGTTATTTCTAACAAAAAGGTACAAGACACCAACATTAAGAAATCACCTGAGGTAGAATCCAGAGGAAAGGTGGGAGATCCTGTGGGCACTGGGGATAGTTACACCCCTGAGAAATCTCAGAAGGAGCCTCCAAAACCGACCGAGAATGATGTTGCAAAACTCAAGGAGATCAAGAGAGAAGAGGAGATTGCAAAAGCTAAGTTGGCCTTGGAGAGGAAAAAGAAGCAAGCTGAAAAAGCAGCAGCAAAGGCAGTCGTAAGAGCCCAAAAGGAAGCTGAAAAGAAACTGAAGGCAAGTATCAGTCTTCCATGTTTCTTTTTTCTTCTTTATACTTCATTCTATCTCTGGCATCACTTGAGTGACATTTTCCGAATTCACATAGGAAAAAGAGAAGAGAGCGAAGAAGAAGGCTGGGGCATCGGCACCGGCTGATAGCACGGATGAGGCTGACGCAGAAGCAAAGGTTTCAGAGCCAGAAGAAGCTACTGTTGATGCACCAGTTGCGGAGAAAACCAAGGAACAGAAAGAAACTGTCAGGTACAGAAACCGACCAAGGGGTCGAGATCAGGTTCCAAAGGTCATTCTGAGGAGGAAAAAACAGCAATCATATTGGATATGGGCTGCACCTGCAGCAGCCGTGGCTGCCTTGCTGCTGGTGTCCCTGGGTTACTACTTCATTGTCGCCAGGAAGCAAGCATGAATCATTTGGTGAGGATGTGGACCAGTTTTGAAGTTGGGAGAACCAGGATGAAGAAACACCCTTTTAGTGAGAACTTTATGTTGTAAGCTCATGTGACATATCTTCATTCATCTACATGCATCCCAATCCACTGTGCTTTTATTTTCTTCATCTCACCAGAACTGGCATCTGTTTTCCTTGTTTGCTAAAAACTCAAGTTTGTTTTGAATAAAATAAAGTTGCATGATGCTGTCACCTCGTTTTCACTCGATTTCCTCCTGCTGATGAAAATTATCAGTTACACCATTTTCAATAAATTTTGCTAAAACTCATGTTTCTTTTCCTGGCAGGTCTAGACTGACGTGACCGACCCTAAAACCAAGTGGGAAGTAATGAGTTCTGAATCGGATTCCGATCCATCTTTCTAACTTTCTGTCCTACTATTACTACTTTCTCAAGAGACTACTACATTTCTGCGAAAATATGTATTGGCTACTAAAAGATAGAGTATATCGTGCTTTGATGATTAATTTAATTATATTTAGAATATGAAAATGTACTTTTTTTTTATCTTTCTAACTTTGTCTTTATCATCTCACAAAAATAAGTTATGTCGTGATGTATATATTTATTAGATCTTATTTATATATATATATATATATATATATATATATATATTTATTCTGACATGTTTTTAAATGCCTTATTAGTTAGATGATTCATGTGGTTAGCATAACATATGACACAGTTTGATTGACTCCTCCTCGTCTGAATAATTAATGTTCGATAATCAACGACGTTAATTAACAATTTTGAGTGATTCGGTAATCTTGAGTGATTCAGTATATCAACTCCAATAATTTGAGTTCTACGAAGAAGGTTTTAACTCTAATAATCTTGTGTATTCCTGCTTTTAATTTTTTATTTTTTGATCGAAGCTTCCTACGTTACTCAAAACTCAGATCAAATCATAAACACTATTAATTGGTTTCATCATCAAAATCTGATATTATTCTCTATAAATTCGATTATCTAATAATTTTGTTAATTTTAGATTCTAACTTGGGCTTATTTTGCATGATATCTTATAGAGCCCAATCGCCTTCCAACACAACTTATTTCAGTTCAGTCACACATCTCATACAATTAAAATAATCATTATTAATTATTTAACACCTTTGAGTAATAAGAAGGTTGCCTTTATAATAAATTAGTCATCATTATGACTTTTTACATAATATTAACCTAAAAATATTCCAAACATTTTAAAGAAAAGGTTTTCTTTCCTTTTACAAATTCTTGAGAAGACATCACAGCGCGTTGATAGTTTTCTCCTTCTCTCCCGACTAGTCTTTAGGGTTTTCATTGCCTTCTTTGGGCGACCTCTCCGATGGAGGAGAGCCTTCGTCGAGACGCCGATGAACCACTGGGGATCGGAGGGGGAGGAGGACGGCCGTCGGCGGGAGAGGAACAAGTGGCCGAGGAAGCGGAGCTGCAAGGGCGCTGCCTCGACCTCACGAGCTTTCAGCTCCACGACTTGAGCGAGGTCGATATCCCGGACGACCTCGTTGAGCTGGATCTCACCACCAACAGGCTCTCCCGATTGGACCCCCGGGTCGGCCTCCTCTCGCAGCTGCGGAAGCTCTCGCTGCGGCAGAACCTTTTCGACGATGATGGCGTCGAGCCCATCTCCCGGTGGAATGTCATCGCCGGCTTGCATGTAATGCTTCCCCTTTTCTGATCATCCATTTCACTTCGCAACAGCCTTTTAAATAAGAAACAACCTTGGAATTTCTTTGTTTAATTTTTGGAATACGTTGCTATCTTCATTTTGATTCTTGCACAAATGTTATGTGTTGATCTCACTCTAACATCGGCTTGTAGAGCCATATCATAGAATTTACATTGTATCTCTGCGTTCTGGCATCAGTTTGCTGCGTTGACCTGTATCAAACCAGGATTGCAATAAACATAGGTTGTCTGGTGTACCCATTCTCAACATCCTCCGCCAAAATTGACTAATTTGTGGTGAATAAAGGTGCAAACTTGGGATGACTTTGTGACATAATCTAGCTTACTTTGCATTTGTCACAATTGAAATGGACAAGAGACTTATATCACGAGTAAGGATGAGATTTGATACGATGGTAAGGTTGCCCCTTTGAAACTTGGGTGACAAAGGTTGGAGTTGTGGAAACAATTTCTCTACTCCATTGGGTCAAGATTGTGCATATTGACCTTTCCTAGATCCTGCATAAATGGAACTCTGATGCACTGGGATCACCCCTTATATTGCGAGCGTAGTAAGACTGCTCATAGTTAATCAATGCTTGCTTTTGTTTGGAGAGAGGGGATGTTCAACTGTTATAAGAAAGAAAAACCTGAACACCTTGTGAAATTGACAACTGGGAATTCTTTCTTTTTTCCTGCTTTTGTATATTTTTCCTTTTCTACTCTTGTTTGGAGAGAGAAGTTAAAGAAATAAGAGGAAGCTAAGCATATAAGCAATTACCAAATGTATGTGGTCTCATATATTGCACATTTTTTTGTTAGAGTATTTTGTTGAGTTAGTACTTTCTTTTAGTACCACACGTTAATATCTCAAATAACAGATGGGACTCTTATTGCAAGGTTCGCAATACCGTACCGTACCGGCGTTTCGACGTTCGCTCGGTACGGTACGAAACGGTATATCGAACTGTCACGGATAAACTTCGAAACAGGATGTTTGATGTAATGCTTATGTATGTCCGTGTCTTTTGGTATGTTCATGCTTTGCACAGCATGTAGAGGGACGACCGAAGGCTTAATAGTCCCATTTTAGTTGGGTTTGGTGGCCGCTTTAGGCTTGTAAATAAAGGTTGTGTCATGTGAACACTTGTGAGAGATTTTCGATCTGTAATAGATCATTTTGACCCTTTGTTGTGCAACTGTTCAGAGCTTGTAATGTCTGTTTGTAATTTGCATTGTCTATGAAGTGTTTTCGGAAATGTTTGCTTGTGGATCCCGAATGAGGCGTTTTCTCTAACCCGTTCTCTCTTTTGTGGGTCCTAAGGGACCATGGGAGACTTCGGGGAGGCTGACCTTTGCGAACGGACACGCAAGGATGCCGCACGACTTAGGCAAAATCAGCTAAGTCCGTGACAGAATGGTATACCGAGCGGTAAACCGCTCGGTATATATATATGTATATATATATATATATATATGTATATATATATATTATATAACTCGACGACGTCGCCTCTCTCTTCTCCTAAGCGGGGCGACGTCGCTTCGGCGACGTCACCTCGTATATATATATATATATATATAATCCGAAATAGGCGCCTCGGCGATGTCACCGAAAAAAGCACCTTTTTCTAAAATATTTATATATAAATATAAATAAATATATATTATTTTATTATTATTTTTTGTTTTGTCCGGTAGCGGGCGGTCCGCGTACCGGTATGCCATCGGACCGGTATGTACCGCCCGTACCGGACGGAATCATTCGGTATTGCCTACCTTGTCTTATTGTATGATATGCAATTGACTTTTGCTAAATGGATGCAAACAGACAGCTGCTTCATGCCGTGGAGTAGCGTCTTTGCTTGTATTCCTGCTAGCTTGTTTCTGCTGTTTAAAAGTAAATATATATATATAATTGTGAGTTACAATTGCAAGTAAGGAAGAAGGTTATGCTTGTTTAGCTTTTCTTGGTTTGGAAAAGAGTAGACATATGCTCTCTGTAGTCAATTCCATAAAAGAGAAACTTTTTGCCATACACCTCATATTGGCTTTGGTATATCTAATATATTCATAGAACATCATCACTTTTCATCCTTCAAAATATAGGCGTCATATTTTACGATCGTTCGGTAGGTTGTCTAATTAAAAAAATAATACTTTTGTTCTGAAACCATTTGCTTGTGAATGTTCCCCATTTTGAGTTCTTTATTAGATGATATAGATGATGTTTTGTTGAGCTCTGTCATATTTTCTTCAAAGTGAAGTCGAAAGCCCTTCATTCAGATGTAGAGAATAAAGTTTTGCACTCTCTTCAAGCGAATAAACTGAAGATGTATTCTCAATCTGAAAGACTTGGTGTTCCAACAAAAGTAACACCTGTTCACTTTTCAATTTTGAGTATTCTTTCTCTCTCTCCTCTCTGATTAGACTACATTGAAAAGGCATGAGGGAACAACTGAATTGTAATACATCCCTGATCACTATTCATGTTGAATTCTTGTAGCTCGTTTTACTAAGATGAACTAAATTTTTTTTTTCTTTTTGTTGTTTTTGAGAAGGGAATAGCGAATGTTTTGGGTTTTATGCAAATAAATTTAAATCATCTTTATTTTATCGGATGATATATTTACTGTGCAGGAGCTAGTGCTTCGGGATAACAAGCTCAGGAAAATACCTGATGTTAGCATTTTCAAGAACCTTCTTGTCTTTGATGTCTCATTTAATGAGATATCTTCCTTAAATGGCTTGTCCAATGTAGCAAACACGCTCAAAGAGCTTTATGTTTCAAAGAATGAAGTCAACAAGATGGAGGAACTTGAACACTTGCATTCATTGCAGATCCTTGAACTTGGTTCAAATAGATTAAGGGTGAGTATTATATCTCAGTAGCTTCTACAACAAGGTTTCAAAAGATTGGAAAAACCAGTCTCGAAAACTGAACTTTTAAACTGGTTAAACTTAAAATAGAAAAAATTCATAGTGATCTTTGATATTTCTACATTAATCTGATGATGTAATTCAAGTTTTGACTATGCTTATGTTTGTTTTGAAGGTAATGGAGAACTTGGAAACATTGACAAATTTACAGGAGCTGTGGCTTGGGCGAAATCGTATTCGGATGGTCACCTTGTGTGGGTTGAAATGCATCAGAAAAATAAGTTTGCAGAGCAACCGGTTGACATCCATGATGGGTTTTCAGGTAAAAAAGCATTGGTTTGTGTTACTGTTATATTTATTTTATAGAGAAAGTGATTCTTCTTAATGTTTTTCCAGGAATGCATCGCGCTAGAGGAATTGTATCTGAGTCATAATGGTATTCAGAAGATGGAAGGACTATCCACCTTACAGAACCTTCGTGTATTGGACATCTCATCCAATAAACTTACTGCTATTAGTGATATCGAAAAGTTGACGAGGCATGGAGGACTTTTTTTTTATCATTTATAGTTCAGTGGTCTTATATTTGCTTCATGCATTCCTTAATATGCCTTGCAGATTAGAAGACCTATGGCTTAACGACAACCAAATACCTTCTCTGAAGGGAATAGATCTAGCTGTATCGGGTTCAAGGGAAAAGCTTACAACCATTTATCTTGAACGCAATCCATGTGTATGTTCTCTGCAGTTTCAGTTGTTTAGTTCTTCCTTCATTGACATCATTTTATTTTGTGTTTCATACTATTTTGCAAAAAGCTTATTTCCTCATGTTATTGAGCTTCCTTTCTTAACTATGCTGTCTATTCCAGGTTATAGGTGTTTAAAATTGCGGGTTTCATGTTCATGTTAATTCTTCTTCCTTGCTTGACATAGCCCACAGACATCAAATGCTTAATGGTTTAGGATATAATGGAATTTAGTCCTGGCCTGTTATGATGTCAGGCTTGGTTCAAGTCTAAAACATATTCACAGTGGTCTAAACTAAATTTATTGAGAAAGGAGGATAAATATATCTAGTATCAATCCAGAAGAATGATAACTGCAACAATGCTATATGAATGGCAGACTATGGTTCATCAAACTCAGTTTTGGAATAATAATGCTCGATATACTGCCTTGTGAATGGCAGACTATGTTGCAAAAGAAGCCTTGTCAAGCATGTTACTTTTGTTATATTAGCCATATTACAAGAGTTTTAATGACCTCCAGGTGCTTATCATGGTTCTGCGGAACTTTGTTTCCTTTTTGTTTTTGCATATTTTCTTTGCTACATTATGTTTGTAGGCATGTCTTATTTGTGCATGTGAAGCCTCTTATGATGTGGACCTTGGATTATTTTTGGCCTTCTAAAATCATTTAATGTAGTAACAAGTAACAACTAATCCCGGTCCTTGCCATTTAGGGGAATGGATCACACCCCTGAATACTGTCAGGGGTGGCGATGCCATGATGCAGCAGGTTTTCGATGTAGTAAAATTCTCATCCTAGTTTGTAGAGTCAATTTCATGAACAAAATATGATCCTGGTCCTTGGCATTTAGGGGAATGGATCCCATCCCTGAATACTGTCACGGGTGGTGATGCCATGATGAAGCAGGTTTTTGATGTAGTAAAATTCTCATCTTAGTTTGCAGAGTCAATTTCATGAACAAAATAGGGTCCATATTGATGTCAAGTTTAGATGATTAAGATATTTTAACTTGTGCAATTGTAAAAAAGGACTAGTGGAACTGATAGATGAATCTTGAAGCAGCTACTCATTTGTTTCTCTTTGGGGAAAATTATTTTGCAGGCTACCTCATCAGAATATTCTACCACACTGAGGCAGATATTTCCAAATCTTCAGCAGCTTGATTCAGATATTTTTATGTGAGGGATCGGATTGTCTTGCATGTTGCTGAATATGAGTCAGTTTATCGTGTGCTGGTACAATTTACTTAATTTTCCTAAATTATTCCTGTATCTTTGCATTCCTTTGATCATCAATTGCAGACTTCCATCTTCCCTTCTGTAGTGTTACCTTACATTAACACAGGTGGAATTCGGAGTCCATACATTCCTTAAGGTACATTTCTGGCATGCAAGTTTGTGATCTGCTTCTCAAAATGTTTCTGCTGTTTAATATAAGTATTGGGTTGAGTTATTCTATGAAGTCTCTCATTCTCATTCTTTTAGTCATGGTTTGAAATAGACAAAAAAAAAAAAAGTGTGTGTGTATATATATATATATATATATATATATATATATATATATATATATATATATATATATATTCAATCGTAAGGCTTGAACGGTGATCCGGGCCCCACTATCTGTCATCATTGGATCAGGTTTGAGCCGGTTATTGGATTCATAAATCCGAAATGCGAATCCATACGCAACATTGTGGATCCGATCTGACCTGATCTTTGTCTCGATGCATATGTCAACCCAACAACGTTCCTGCATTGACAGCGAGGACTCATACTTAAAATTTTGGATCGGATATTTGATCAATTTCGGGTTATTGGATCCGTTGTCATCCAATAGCAAATAAAGTTGATTATATAATTATAAATAAATATTAATAATTTATTCAGAAAAGTTTCCACTAAATAGATTTTATTGGATGACACCCCTCCCTCCTCTATTGAGATTTTTTTTTTAATAAATAGATAAATATATTCTTGATCTTTGACCTCTCTCCTTTGTCATTCCTCCGCTACTCCGTCGTCATCGTCCTTTCACCCTTTCTTTTTGTGCTCTTTCAAGAAACAGGAGAAAGAGAAAAAATCGCAGAGAAGAGGAGGGAAACCCCTACATTGACATGAATAAAAAATTATTGGAATAGGAGTATAGATTTACAAAAGTAGAGTGGCTTTAGATAGTTCATATGATAGAAAAGAATTAGTTACCAATACACATTGTTAGAAAAGGGTTATATATATATATATATATATATATATATATATATATATATATATATATATATATATATATATATATATATATATATATATATATATAT